TGTTATGGTGTTTAAAGATGGCAATTGGGATTAAGTTGATATTTCCCAGAGTTAATATTAAAATAATTTTATATAATAATGTTATAGTGTATGGAATTATTACACAACATGAGTAACCAGAGTCTAAATATTGAGTAAAATTTACCACTTGTTTATGTGACATTGACAATGTAATTGAGTTTCTTCAGTGTGTACAATGTCAATCACGGTACTTATCATTGAGTTATCTTCACTAGTTCAATTGTCACTCGAAAAAAACTGGTCTGCTTTTGACTAAAATTGATTCCTTTGTAATAGCCAACAACAATTCTGCTATTCCTCAGAGGGACTCCTTATTTCTGGTCCAGTCAAAATATACAAAGAGCTATTGACTAGAGAATAACTCAAGCTCCAAACTTGTAATGGAACAAGAGAGAATTTAAAGAAAAATATTGACAGAAGAGGGTGTTAGAAAATTTACACCTCTATTGTGTTCTCATGCCAGCCAGTGGCTTCCCAGAATACACTTGTGTGAAACAGTTGAGAAATTCTTGGAAGAGCAAAATAATCATGGCCCTTATGGTCGATAAGGTTATTGCTCAGTTGTCATGCTGCTAGCACCCTTTCAGACTGGGTAAGTTTAGGGGGAAGAGATCATCTGTGGGATATTATATGAATATATACCTAACAGGATTTGTTTGGCTGTCTGAGTATAAGTTAGGAGAAGTAGAAAAATTCAAGTAGCACCTGAAAACTTTTGCTTAAGGAGCTGGATGTTTCACGGTGACGGTGACTCATGCTGTAATGGTGATTCCTAGAGAAAGGCCATATTTTATAGGCGGTAGACAGGAAAAATCAAGAACTCAGTTTTGTATTCGTTAAGATTTAAATAACCATCACTTCTCGGCCTTTTGGCTAAGATCAAGTGAAGATTTAAATAACCATTAGACATTGTAGGACAGGCATAAGGAATCAGAAAAAAGTCAATCTAGAAAACTAAACTTGGAAGCCATCAGCAAAGATAGAATCAAGAGGCAATGCCTCAAAATTACTTTTTTATATTAAATATAAAATACATTTTATATTTAAGGTCTCATTTGGTTGTAAGAGCCCTATGGTCCGAGAAGTGTCCCAAATAGATGGCAATATACAAAAAAGTAGGGAAAGAAAGGTGAAGCAGTAGATAGAAATGTGAAGCAATGAGTGGTGTCAGTAGAAATGGGTCTTCAGAGAACTCAATTTCAGGGAAGGAAGGGCAGGCTTTGAATGTGTGCTCGTCCTCATTTTTGATTCCCAGTAGCTCTGGACTTGAGAATTGCACTAATTTCTCCACAAGCCTCAGAAGCACATCCTTTCCCTTTTTGAGGACACTTGTTATCTTGAGGAGTGTTGGTGCAATACTATAGGAATCCTTGGATGCCCTTGTCAGCACACAGGTTTGTGGAATCCACATGCAGAAGGGTCAGGCCCTTACAGCTCCATGGGCTGGACTTCCTGCATTTTAAACAGGTATCCTTGGGAATTCCAACAAACGGGACCTGTGATCACTCTCTGAGCAACTGTGATGTAGTTCTGTTTGCTATTTGTGAATAGATGGGAATCTGAACCCTGTACATTTTACAGGGTGTTTTTTTTTTTCCAGAAAAAAGATATTGTGTGGGTATTACTCCGCTGGTATCAGAATTATATGTAATCTTCACCTTTGCTCCCCTGCCCCAGTTTTAGAAAAAGAAGTAGAGTTTGAAATAAAAGTACAATAATGGTTTTGTGACTGTGAGGGTTCTTATTCTTATGGTGAGGAGGGGGAACATGGTTTATTTTAGATAGCAATCCTAATATTCCATCTGTCCCTGTAACTGTACATTTCCAAATTAAAATAATAACTCTGATAATCTCCCAAGGAAACATTTGAAGATTGTGAGCATATTGTCAGCAGCACCAGCCTGATTCAAGGACCAGTGACCCAGGCAGGCTCACCCTCTCCTCACTGAACAAATGTTGACAGAAACCCCTTTGGAAGAGAGTTTGAAGTTCCAAATAAGACAACTGTAGCTAGAAGTTTTCCTGTGTCCCACCTGGCCCATGGTCAGGACAAATCTCTCTCATCCACCAGTCCTTCAGCTGCTTGGACCCAAGTAAACACACAGGCTTATATTAATTAAAACTACTTGGCCATTAGCTCAGGCTAACTATTGGCTAGCTCTTACAGTTAAATTAACCTATAATTCTTATTTATGTTTAGCCACGTGGCTTGGTACCTTTTCTCAGTTCTGCCTTCACATCTTGCTTCTTCTGTGTCTGGCTAGTAACTCCTGCCTCAGCCTTCCTTTTCCCAGAATTCTCTTCTCTGCTTCTCTCACCTATACTATACTTCCTGCCTGGCTACTGGCCAATCAGCATTTTATTTATCAACCAATTAGAGCAACACATTCACAGCATACAGAAGGACATCCCCAGCAGACAACGAGAGTGTCAGTCAATTAGAAATCCCTGTTGTCCATGTCACCATCGAACAACTTAGACCAATACCAGCATTGGCTACATCTTTTATACTCCTAAAATGGGTGGCTCTTAACTGGGCATCTTCTGCTGAGTGAGTTTATAAATGTCCGGGTGTTATGAAATCAGGACTGAGTAGAAATGACAGCTTTAGTTACAATTCCTTCTTTGCTTTTACTCTGGAATACTGAATTCCTGAACTTCTTCAGGATTCCTATTCTGCCATCCTTTTTTTCCTGCCTAAATTTCCTTTTGCCGTATCTGCTCAGCCTCAGCCTGTGATCTTTTGTCTAGCTTGGAGAAGTGTGACCTGGCTGTCCCTAACCTGTCACTAATCTGACTGTCAGTCACTCATCTGTACTGAACACTCTTCTGAGATATGAAGGGAAAATAAGACATTCCCTTAATTTTATAGTCTTTGATTCAGAGGCAGACTTCAGCATAAGCTAATTGAATCTAATCTTTGTTAGACTCACTCGCTTGGGCTACCTCCAAAGGTTAAAGATGGCTTTGGTGTTGGTTGACATGCTGGTATGGTTTCAAGTTTACAAAGAAAAGAATTTTAACCATACCCATTAAGATTCTTAATTTGCCATAGATGCTCCCAGAATAGCTATTATGGAATTTGGGGATCAAGATGAGGGAAGTAAAGTGTGAGGTATATTTACTTTGGAGATCTTCTGGCCTAGTGTCTTACTGCCAAGGTTCTGATGGGCCTTTCACTCTTAGGCTTATGCCCAGATTTCAGTACCAGTATTTAGGTATGGAAAGAACAGGTTGTGCGGACTGGTCTATAGGTAAGTGCCAAGGTGTATTTCAGGTGAGCAGGTCATTTAATAGTGCCAGCCACTTGGACAGTGGAAAAACTGAGATAAGCAATCCAACAGCAGCCCACATAACAAAAGACATTCCTTACATTTATGATCTTTATAGGGGAGAGATATCTGAGTTTAGAGGATTTCTCTGAGTTTAGCAGATTAGTGAAGGTACAAGATCGGATGTTAGGATGGGACTTGTGAAAGTAGTCCTGTGGCAATACCCTACCTTGGGGCTGCTAACTGCTGGACCTCATCAACTTAAGGGAAGGACTAGAGAGAACAGAAAGTGTGGCTGAAACCATCTACAGCAGCTAAGAGTGATCATCTAACAGTGACCTTACATTGCCTATACCTTGGGAGACAAACTTCTGATGTGCCTGCCACATCTCACATTGGTAACTCAAAGTATGATTTGCTCTTAAAAAGTTGTTTCCTGGCATCTCAGCAGAGAGGTTAAAGGTTAGAGGTCACACCTATTTATAAGTTGATGAATAGGGAGGGTGAAAATATACAAAGCCAGAAGTAGCCTGGGATGAATTATTTTGAGTAGCAGAGGTGTAAGCACTGGATTCTGTTCTCATTTACATCAGGTCTAATCTGAAGTTCTCTCCTGTCAGGGATGGCCTTAATAATGAATACATACAATTACAAATGTATTATGCATATCATATTTTAAGAGATAATGGGATTTATTAGAATTCCTAGTAGAAAGGTACAAACCCTAGGCAGCACTACAAAGAGAATATATGGAAATGTGAACAACCATCATTGTTGCATCTCAATTATCAATAATGAAAATACATCTCAATTCGCTATTCTAGAGGAGAGACAACTGTCATTATGCTTTCTTAGTGGAAAATGTTATTATAAAATCATGATCTCATGAAGAGGTAACAAAAGAGTGTATCATTCATTATCTCTGGAAAATGATTCTTTAGCTTGTATGTAACACATTTACAATTTTGTTTGTGCTTTTTCTCATCCCTTTAAAATTAACCATTTTTTGTGATTTGTTCCTTTGCTACAAGGAAATATTTATTTTGTACTAAATTCTGTATTTGTGATTTTTTTTATTGTTTGGTAAAAGAGTTCTATGAAATGAAGCATAGCTCTGTGTTCGATGGAACCTGGGGATGACCTTGTTTATATTTTCTAACAATTTTTTTGTCTTAGTTTGTAGTGACTTGAAACTGCTTTGCTTTCTCCCTGATTAGTAGTTATCCCACTGACAAACAGTGGCTGGGTCATAGAGAAGATCTGGAAGCCATGGGAATTCTCAAATACAAACATTTCTAGCAAGTTGCTACAGAACACTTGACAACTCAGGAATTTTAGGACTACAGGAAATGATGGAATCTCTGGTAATAATTGTGTGAGTTTATGAACAATTTACACAGTTTCCTTCCACTGGAAACTCAAAACATATTGCTGAATATGTTGAGATCAATAAGATATGAAATGTACCCTTTACTAGACAGGTGTTTACTTTAGTCATAGCACAAACTAAGGCACAAGCATGTAAATGCAAAATTTTAAAATACTTTCCCAATGATATTAAACAGAATAGGTAGAATGATGCAGTTTTTTGGCACAGAAATCAATTACTGCAAGTCTCCAACTCACATTCTTTCCCTGAGTACATCTGTCAGAAATCTGTTGACATTTCATAGGCAAAAATCAAGATTGTGTGATTCCTCTTTTCAGGACTGAAAGGTATGAAGATCCGTGGAAAGAGGCATGTCAGAGAATAAGCCGAAGCGTTCTGTTATTTTATAACATTAGATCTTCTTCCCTGTCAAACCTGTCACTTGTGTCCTGACTGTGGCTGAGATGATGAGAACAAAATGGAAATAAAGACATGGAATGCAGGCACTGGGAATTCAAGAAAGGTGAGAAGTGCCTCAGTGCATGGTGCCAACTAGCACCTCCTTCTTCAACAGCCTCTCACCCTTCCAAACCATGTAGGGACTCAAGGGCGGTGGCATGTGAGCTCCTTCTGTTAGTCACAAAGCAAGACAGGTATTTTTAGAAGCAAATTCTTATATTAACAGACTATCAAAGTGTCATTTCTGTTGCTTTCCACTAACTAAATCTTTATGCTGTAAGCTGAGCATCCCCAGAGGCATCACAGCCCACCATTTTAACCTTTCCAATATGTGCTCAATGAATTTGTTCTAATATTTCCTTCTGAACTTCAATGGAGCATGCTCAAGAATGTGCCCATTGCTTTACTGTTTACCACTATGAGTAGGTATAGATTCCACTAATAAAATCCCTATGCTTCATTTACTCAGAGAGGATACTGCTTTGAAAGGACTCCCATGCACCCTGGCCTGCTGCAAATAATAAGGTCTTTTCACCTCTTAAATGTCTTGTCCATTTTGGTTGGGATCTGTACTCACCAGGGTGTGAACCTATTGCATTCAGTCACACTCAGTTGAGAACATTTCTCCTGGTACCACAACCTAGTATCAGCTACCTCATTAGTGCCTCCATGTTTGTTTCCCCTCCTGCTTGGAGACTGCCTCTTGGTGCTCATGTTTATATTTGGAGGTAGTTGATGGTATTTGTGTTTTTCAAATATTTTTCTTCTCTAGTGACTAGCCCTGGACTCTCATGGAAGTCATCTGACACTCAAACAAGAACAATTGAACTTTGATTTTCTCTAGTACTCTGCACAGGATCTGTAGTGTTAGCAGAGGTGTGAATCTCAGGAGCTGTTGGCCAAGCTGTGGAAGATGGTAGATTTTGCTAACGGGAAATAATATGGGCAAGTGGGGAGGTGAAGAAGGGAGGGAGGGAGGGAGAGACAGAGACAGAGAGAAGAGTACAACAATAAGTAGAAACTTACAGAGGAAGAAAAGAGGATGTGCATGTCAGCATGAAAATGAACCACACATAAAGTACATTGTCCTTTGAGATCCACAGAGAACTGCTATTCTTTTCCTCTCTGGACTTTCTTATTCCCATCATGTACCTTAATCTCAGCAGTAACCCTTACAAACAACCCATTTCCACAACTCCCACAACTCCCATTTACTCTGCCAACTTCAGCATTTTTAATTTTCATCTCGTTTCTCCAATGTACACTATGTGCTTTGACGTTCTGAATGACTTCCTGGATTCTGTTGCTGACAGTGGCATTGCTAAATGGTCTTATTAATAAAAACAACAACAACAACAACAACAAAAACCTGGAACCAGATATTGGGGTGAAAGCTAAAAGATCAGAGAAACAGAACAAGGCAGCCACATTCTTACCTCTACGAAACCCTCAGCCTCAAGCGAGAGAGTTCCTGTTTCCTCATGCCTTATATACCTTTCTGTGACCTGCCATATTACTTCCTGGGATTAAAGGCATATGTCCTTCCCAAACAAAGACATGAGATCTCAAGTGCTGGGATTAAAGGTGTGTTGCCACCACTGCCTGACCTCTATGTCTAATTAGTGACTGGCCTTTTCCTCTGATCTCCAGGGAAGCTTTATTGGGGTACACACAATATATCACTACATTTCCATAGCATGGGAATGTAGACATTTCAGTGACATAGTCCCACTGCTTCTCCAGCCTAAAGGACTGTTATAATGTGAGGATAGTCAAAACTGGATTATTTCTTGTTCCTTGAGTACTCTACCTCCCAGGCCTTGATCCTTAGCCTACCCAGAACTTTTTCTTGTTATCTATAGACAACCTCAGGTTTCAGGAATCATTTCAAATGTGATTCTATCTATGAAATATTTGTATAAGTCATCCTCAGTTGATTTTCTTGCACCAGCAAGCTCCTACTATTTGGCATCGGAGCTATCTACGTACTTATTTCATTTCCATATGAAAACTATAAACTCTATAAGGAAAGGAAGTACTGCAACAAATTTTGTGGGCTGATTGCCTACTCACTTAATAGGATTATTTTCTTAAGCTATGGACATGAACTGAGTTACTAGGGACATCCAGCAAAAATGTGAGGCAGATTCCATCAAATACCATTAAATATACATGGACCACTTTTCTTCTATACATTCTTTCCTGTCTGCAGATTCACCCATCCATATTCCAAAAATATTGTTTTAAAAAATCCAGAAGGTTCCAAAATGCAAAACTTAACTGAATCAATACAACTTAAATTATGTGTAGACACACCTTGCTGCTGTTAGGTGCCAACCACTCTAGAGATCTGAAGCCTGGTCCCTGTGTCTCATGTGTAGACCACATAATTAGGTCTGTGATGTTGACCCTATACTCAATGAATACTGATCATTTCTTGTAATTATTTCATAAGTAGTATTTAATAATAATTATTTCCATAGTGCTTGCATTTTATTAGGTATAATAAATAATATGTAGATAATTTAAAGTATGCAGAAGAATATACGCAGGTTATATGCAATTATTACACCATTAATATGAGCATCTATATATTTTGGTATCTTACAAAGTTCTAGATAAGTGGTTCTCAACCCATGGGTCACAACCACTTTGGAGGTCACTATCAGATGTCTTGCATATCAGATATTTACATTATGATTCATAACAGTAGCAAAATTACAGATATGAAGTAGTAAAGAAAATAAATTTATGATTGGGGGTCACCACAACATGAGGAATTGTATTATAGAGTCATAGCATTAAGAAGATTGAGAACCACTGTTCTAAAACAAATCCTGCAGATACTGAGGGAAAATCTGTGTGTGTGTGTGTGTGTGTGTGTGTGTGTGTGTGTGTGTGTGTGTGTGTGTGTCTGTGTGTTTGTGTGTGTGGTGTGAAGCATCTTATATGAAGAAGAAGCCGTCAGAAAGACAGAAGAGGAGGAGCTGGGCTGCCTCACACACTGTTAAGCCTACTCTGTGTGCATCCCCAAATGTCAGTCCCTGTATCACCCTGTATCACGATGCTTCAGTAACTCTTTGCCTGGCTCCTTACCTTCTGGGTTTATTGAGAACTTATTTCATCCCTTTAATGCCTGAGAGGCCACAGAAGGACACCTAGCAGAATGAATATGCTAGTCCACCCCCAACCCTCACAATGTACTGGATCAAGTATGAACATTTATGTATTCAGTGATATAATTTATTGAAAATTGTTTTCTTGGATTAAAGTCCAGAATAATCCAAGGGCTGGAAGGACAGAAGCCATGGAATAGTGCAGATGCTGATGAGCTTAATAAAGGAGCCCTGTGGAATACAATAGCAAAATCTTGATACTATTTATTGTATTAGTTACTTTTCTATGGCTGCGATTAAGGCACCATGGCTAAGGCCGTTTATTAAGGGAAGTATTTACTATGGGGCGCATGATTCCAGAGGGTTAAAGTCCATGATCATCATGGCAGGGAACATGGCAGCAGGCAGCCATGGCTCTGACTAGATGAAGGTTCACATCTAATCTGAAAGTAGGAAATAGGGAGAGTTAACTGGGCCTGGCATGGGTCTTTGAAACCTTAATGCCTGCCCCATGTGACACATCTCCTAATCCTTCTCAAATAGTTCTACCAACTGGGGACCAAACATTCAAACATAACATAGACAAAAGGGGGTGGTTTTAATTCAAGCCACAATTATGATGCGCCTCTACCTTTTCCTTCACATCCTTTAGCAGGAAGAGCATGCTGTTTGTGACGTTAAATGTTCTAGTTAATGTTACCACTGCTGTGATGAATCACTATGACCAAAAGAACTTGAAAAGGAAAGTGTTTATTCTTCTTATGCTTACACATCATTGTTCATCACTGAAGGAAGTCGGGACAGGAACTCAAACCACAGGAACCTGGAGGCAGGAGCTGATGCTGAGGCCATGGAGGGGTGCTCCCTACTGGATTACTCCTCAAGGCTTTCTTCTAGAACCCAAGACCATTAGCCCAGGAACAGCACCAGCCAAAATGGACTGGGCCCTCCCACATCGGTCACTAATTAAGAAAACACTCTACAGCAGTGGTTCTCAACCTTCCTGTTGCTGCGACCCTTTAATATAGTTCCTCATGTTGTGGTGAGCCACCAACCATAAAATTATTTTCATTCTTACTTCATAACTGTAATCTTGCTATGGTTATGAATCATAATGTAAATATCTGTGTTTTCTGATGGTCTTAGGCGACTCCTATGAAAGCAGTTGGTTCCAAAGGGGTCATGATGCACATGTTGAGAACCACTGCTCTATAGGCTTATCTGCGGTGTAATCTTATGGAAGGAAGCCTTTTCTCAGATAAGGCTCCTTCTTCTCAGATGACTGTAACTTGTGTCAAGCTGACATAAAAAACCAGCCATCACACTAGAGTGTGGCTAGCGTTTCAGTTTTGGATCTTTAAGTGCCTGGGCCAAGCCTAGCAACATTGGGTATAAAATCTTGTATTCTTCTACCTCAAGCACTTAGTCCTCCCAGGTGTTAGGCCATCTAAGCCCCATAGAACAATGCATTTGTTCCCCCTCTCTATAGCTTTCTCTGTTCAGGAATCTGCTGCCAACTCCCCGAATTAACAAAATTTACACTGAAAGAAAAGATTTAGGAACTTTCAGTTTTATTTTGGCTGGGAAGAAGTTCCTGTTTATTTTTCTTTCCATGCCTTTCAACCCCATTGCATCAGGCCGAAAGCACAAGAGAAATATGACATACATATATTCATAAATCTATTAGACAGTGTCTCTCTTCATTTTGACCAGGGGCAAAGCAATAGCTTGTATCTACACTTAGGGTAAATTTCCATGCTATTTGAATTTAATATATGAATAACATGCATGTCCAATCAAGGTCCATAAAAAACAGATAAGCAATGACAAAATACATTTTGCAAGTAGCGATTAGGAGAAAGCAGATGCAATGACCTAAATTAAAATGCTGAGAAATGATCCCAGTCACCATGGAGTCCTTTGTGTCACTGTACGTCTTTAGAGTAAGGCATTACATTCCCTTTGTTTCAGACTTTTCTCTTGAGGAAGGCATAGACAGCAAATAGCCTTTCAATATATAGACACTATCTGGATCAAAAGGCAAGATTCCTTACTGCCTAGCGTAAACACTTTGGGTTTCCTTCCTGTAGCATAAGCTGCTGCATTTTCCTGCACAGCTGGATCCAGTTCTGACCTCTCTATTAGACTTGGTTGTCAGAAGAACTGACAAAAATATAATAGTGCCAGCTATACTTTCTGTGGTGTGCTAAAAAATGCCCACTGGTTTGAACCAAGGAGTCTATTGTATTTAGCCACCATCCATAAATCAATAGGAGACTAATTGGTAGCTTGCAAATTGGGTAAAAATTTCAGGTTTTCCAAGGCCTTGACACAATCGCCTTAATGCTATGAAATAAATAATAAATAAAAGCAAAGTCCAAGAGAAAAACAACTGATATTATCAATATTTTATAGAAAGTAAAATATAAATCTCTGGTTTAGTATCTTTGAATCTTTCTAGTGAGGGTATGCAAAACAATGTAATATTGAGAAAACATTTTTTTCCTCATCAACATATTGATGAAAACTAAAAATCACAGTGACTGCTAGATCAGGAGAGTTGAGAGTGAGGTGAATGCTCTCCTGTCCTGCCAGTGGATGAGGGTCAGGAGAGGACAGGGCGAGGTGGATGCTCTCCTGTCCTGCCAGTGGATGAGGGAACAATGAAACAGCTAACAGCAGGTTGTGCTTATTTCTGTCTGTCTACTTGGCCAGCCTTCCTACTTTTGCCATCTGTCAGTGGGGCTTCTGTCCAGTGACTGCTTCCACTTTCTGATTCTCTTTCTTTACATACACCTATGCATACACAAATGTAGATATGTTTCTGTGTGTATAAGCACACATGTACACAAATAAATGCATTAACCAAAGCTGCTTATAGGAACATTTTTGGCCAAATCAAACTATGGGGACATCAAGGTGTTCTCTAGCATAATTATCCTTAGATCTGGGTAAATTTATTCACATCATGAAATAGGATATGAACAGTTTAAGAAATTACAGATATATTATAAAACATTCCTTTTTTATTTAAAAGAGAATGGATCATGTGTATTATGTAAATGTGCTGTAACCTGTCACAATGAAGAAATAGGGACTAGATGTATTATTTAACCCAAAGGCTCCCTTCATGTGGTGAGAGAGAGAGAGAGTCCTGGCTTATACTGAGTTAGCACATCAACCTTGACAGTAGCCTGTCCAGGCTTTGGACTAGAGCTCCCATCCTAATGAGACAGCTGACTGGCTGAATGACTGGTCTGAAGACTGAGCTGCTCACTCTTTCTAAGCTCCCCTCCCCATATTTGCTAAGAAGGCAATATTATAATATCTACCTCACATATTAAAGAAAATTAATCTGTGAAAGCACGATCCCATTAGCACAGTTCTTTCTGCCACAGGGTAAATGATGGTAGTGATAAAACTTCACACTGACTTACTTATTGTGTCATTTGGTTTACTCTGTGGTAGGACCCCCGCCCAGTTTTGTCTTTTTGTACCTGATAAGTAACACACCTTGCAGTCTGTAATACAGATTTCCATAATGTTTTCTTATAAGCCCAGTGAAATGGAAATTGAACCAAGACCTTAAGTGTGGGAGACTTGCTCCCACTTTTTCCCCCAGGGTACTCTTGAGTAGGGAGAAGTGAGAAATATTGAGATAGAAATATAGAGGGAGGAGAGACAGATAGAAACCTAGGATAGCCAGCCCCTTCTGTCTCTGTTAAAGGGCTTTTAAAGGAATGCCAGGGGGTGGAGCCAAAGACCCCACCCCCACCCCTTGCTAGATCAAAGCACACAGCAGGCACAGCCAAGAGTAGACCCTTCCAAACACCTGGTAACCACACACATGGACAATCCCCTTATGCAGCCCTGCTGTGTAAAGCAAGCTCAGATCACACTAGGAAACCTTTGTGGACCCCAACATTTAAGGCACATGGCTAGGATGCTTAACCTCCGTGAAAGAGGAAGAACTACGACAGTAGATGGCTGACTGGGCTTGTAGTTGGGGTAATGTAAGCATGTTTGCAATTCACCAGTTAAAACAATGGCTAGTTTTATATTTTAAAAAAGTTACTCCATGCCTTCTTAAGTAAAAAGTACAGTCTCAGGTTGAATTGAATGCAACAACCCCTTAGAAATTTTTAAAATGTAATCATCGATCGCAGCCTTTGTTGCCAAAGAGCAGAGAAATGAACCCGGTGAGCTGAGAGTCACCCGAACAAATTCCTCAGCTCTGGAGACTACAGTGATGGAGCTATTTATAGGTCCCTTTCTCCTTTAGCTTAGAGAAGAGGGAGAAAGCTGGATCAGGAAAGCCCTGTTTCAGTCAGGATTGCACACACTGTTTGCATTAATCAGGAACCTGATTGCTTTCCCTGAAATGATTCAAGTATTAATGATTCCCCTGCCAGAATCTAATGAGCATTTCCTTTGGATTGATAGTTGCCTTTGCTTCATTCACATACTCACAAATTTTGATCAACAGTTTGGTTTGGTAAAACGTGATTGTTTTCTAGGCCATCAGCATATCAGCTAGAGAGGATGCTAGAATGATTCATGCAACTTTAAATTGGAATGTGAAAAGATGGCAAGTTAAAATATGAACATAGAGATACCCCCATGGAGTCCATGGCAGAGACTGTTGAAATGGAACCAATTGAAATCCCTTAGGAATGAGATTTTGCCACCAGCAAAGGATTTCCTTGCAGTTTGCCTTGTGATTCAGTTCAGAGGGGCAGACAATGAAAAAGCCATAGGCAGAGAGGTGCTTCTGCCAGGTATGTGAGACCCCACTGTTTAGTGACTGTGATTGCTGTTGCTTAACGCTGTTTCAAGTTTTTAATTACCTGTAATGTTTACTAGAATTTCCATCAAGTTCCAAAGAGTGATAGGAACACAGGTTTGAGGACCAGTACTGCCAACAGCTATGATTCCGTGTGTGGATTTGAGATGACCTAACATTTTCTGTGCAGGTACATGGTACTCTAATACAGAGATACGAGGATGTTACTGCTTTAGTTCCACAACTGTAGGTGTAAATGTGAGGTTAGAGACCCCTTTCAACATCCTTTTCTTGAAAACATTTTTACAGAATCAATTTGAAAGGAAGGAAGATAATTAGGAATTATGGTGTGATCATAGCAAAGCAGAGACGTCCCAGCAAAGGACTGGAAAGGTGAGTAGTACTGAAATTCTCATGCTAATGTTTCACTGAGTAATTATTAGTTTTTGGAGTAAAGATATTTTTTTAAATGTGCCTGTACATAACTGCTGATTTGCTATTAATTCCATAAATTAGACCATACTAGAAACTAATATTTCCACATTGCAATTGTAGTTAAATGACATTCAGATGGCAGACATCCATTACTTGACAAGCTAGAGGCACGGCACTTGCCATGATTTTGAAAAAAAAAAAAAGTTATTGTGCTAAACATAATTACAGTTATTTCTTCTTCAATGGGAAGCTTAGTAATAGAATTTCTGTTTATGTTCCAGAATCTAAATTTCTGTTTATGTCTGAACAGTTCCACAAAGTAATTGGTCTATTTTATTCATATAAAACCCTAGCTATTGGTAGTTTGAAATATAGACATGTTGCACAAATGTATGAAAAATTTAAAAACAGAAAATAAAATCCATTGTTACATTCAAAGCAGAAAGTAGTGTTGGCAGGAGCTTGGGGGAGCCTGAGTTTCAATTTGGTGTCTGAGGACCCAGGTCATAATCTTCACTTAGAAACTTAACAAGAAATTTTAGCACATCACTGAACCTCATTGAATTTCAGATTTTGCCTATGCAGATTGTATGCAAATATCTGATCTAATCACCCTGTCCCGTTTCTATGAGATTTGGGTATAAAAGGTGTATGAAAGCACACATTATTTAACTATATAGTACTATTCATCATGATATCCTCTTCAGTATCCTGCTCTCTTCTTGACATTAATATTTAGGTTTCTTGGTTTAAAATTTGCCTTTTTATTACCCAAAGAAAATGTAACTATGTTATCATCTTAGAGATCAAAGCATTACCATAATATACAGAGAAGAGAATGGAAGAACTTTGACTCACTTATCTCTAAATATTCTTTTCTCTTTAGTGCCATCTTGAATAGTTTAGTTTTCCTTCATGAATGTTCTAAGCATACACGTATGTGTGTATAGGAAACAGTTTTATTTCAAATAAGTTTATTTATAACCTGCAAGTTAAGTTCATTGAAACAAAATAAAGGCTCCCTTCCTCTGTGTTCTGTGTAAGAAAACACACCACATGATGGACACTGCAGCATTTCCAGGTAGAGGATTGGTGGAAGATGGAAGGGGTCTAGGGAAGATAGACCACCTTTCTGTATCCACAACAAGGACAAATCTTGTATACAAATGAATGTGTTCCAGCTGTCATGGTCCTGAAACCCCATCATGTTAGCAAATGGGAAGTAACACCTCATGGCATGCAATCTAAAATAATTCTCGATGTGTTGAGTACCGCTGGCAGATCTGCCAGGATGCATGGAGTCCCAGTGTGATCACAGGGATTTCTCTGGTCACAAACAGAGAAAAGCACAGGATTTCTCTGAAAACGATGACAGTGCTGCCGGCCCAGAAATCACAGCTCAGGCTCCTCTGTGATAGCAGACTATCACACCTGCCATTTGACAGGTGTGTGCTAAAATTTATGAAAAGCTTTTCTAGCCAAGCCACCGGCTGCTGAAAAGAATGGTGGATGCCTTGAGCCTTGACATTTATTACAGCTTTGCCAGCATATCTGTCTTGTAGAGTGTGATTTGAAAAACGATATGTCTAAGCATGATCTTAATAAGCTCATTTGTTCCAGGATCTCATTGTACTTGTGCTTTCCGAGAGACGAGGAGAGGACCAACAATATAAATAATGGAAGCCTCTTTATGGAATGGCTGTGCTTATTTCAATACGGAGACTGTCCTTGCACCTAATATTGCCAGGTGCCAACTGAAGCGAAGGACCACAGTGCTGCTTGGACCTGTTCCTCACTGAGGTTCCATTCCATTTTCAATAGCCTCAGTTTCAACCAGTTTGCCTAAAATCGCTGAAATTAAAACATTCAGTAGATATTCTGTTAGTGACACAAATTGATTGGCACAATATGTCCTTAAATGAGTCTTAAAGGCTTTAAACTTTTCTTATTTGGCGTTCAATTTTTACGAGACTGACGTATATCTTGTATTTCCTTATTTATTGTTGAGGTAGTCTTGGTAGCTAGTTATTGGACAAATATCATCCGTGCCTCATACAGGATGAACGAGAGGAGGGGAATTAAACACTCAGCAGCAGCAGCTTGGCTCAACTCATGCCATAGTTAGTGCACAATTCCTGATTATCAGTGTAGCTATTTTTCTAGATAAATATAGGCCTATATTTGAAAACATTCATTTTGATAAATGTGTCTATCTATTACAATACAATGCTCATTTGGGCTGAGCTGGTAAAGTAGCACTTTAAAGGTGATTATTATGTTATCAAGACACACAATATTGTTTATCTTTCAGAGAATTCTGTCCTTTTTTGTTCCCTCACTGCTATTAAATATTTCATTTGCTGAAAAGTTTGCTGCTTGTCTCTCTCTTCTACCCTCTGTCTTTATCCTAAGCAGTTAATATAGTTTTCCACTGCTTTTCAGTCTCCTAGTTTTATTCATTCGAAGCACCAGCCCTAGTGGTGAAAATTAACCAAGAAATATAAAATACACAAGTAAGAAAAAAACTAGTGAGATTAGAGAGAACAATGGTTTATTGACAAAAGACATCCGTAATGGGGAGAAAAACTATGAAACTCTATGCAAGCACATTTCAAGATCTAAACAACATAAAATTCACATTTTTTGTAAAATGCTAATTACTACAATTATCTTGAAAAACCTAATAAATGTGAATAAGGACTTTGGTGTATTTGTATGATAGAGAGAACTGAAAAAGCCACCACAGAATTACCTTCAAAGTGTGAGTCCAGCACTTGACAGTTTTACAAGGAAATCCTTTCATGTTTTCCAAGAACTGAAGATCCCCTTAAGACTTCTTTCAATAGAGCGAAGAGAACAAAATGCTGAGGGATCCATTTTCTGTTAACCTGATGGTAAGTGACCCCTCATTATGTAGAATATGCTTAGTAATATGCAGAATGAAGATGAGCTCACATGGCTTTGATCTCTACGCTGTAAATTCGAGTAAAAACAAATTTTACATGTTTAGTTCATCTCTGTAGGGAAAGTAAATGATACATAGAAAGGTGTAAAATATGTATGAGTAAGTATGCAATAATAAACATTTTGATGACAAACAAACTAAATGTAAATTGAATACAGCATCATGTTTCTGAAAAAAAAAGTGTATTTTCTTGGGCAGGTGTAAGGATAGATTGTAACCATGGAATTATTAACATAAGTTACATAGATTGATCAAAAGAGACAGATAATACTTTAATCTCAGTTAAATTGCTAAAAGCATTTGATAGATTTCAAAGTCAATTTTCAAGCTCGACTCGATGCTACCTGTCTTTGATTCCTTTGGCTGAAAGTAAATTCTCCCTTGTGCTTTCTTGACACTGAATTTCCTTCCCATTCACAATACTTCACTCTACCTCACATATATACACATTTGCATATCTACCCCAGCTGCTTTACTTTGGTATGATCTCCAAACATTGCATTTATTTCTCATCTCTCATAGCATCCAGGAGAGAATTGCTTTCTATTAATGCTTGCTTAAGAAGTGTTTAAAAAGAAGCACATACCGTTTAAGATGATAAATGATACAGCATGCATAGATAAAGGTAGCAATTACTTGTATGACTATCTTTCCTTGGCATCATTTGATAATGGGTGGATAAGTATCCCCTGGGTCAGAATGCAGTTGTCCAATGACATTGATACTTCTATGACAAAACTTTAGAAAGAACTGTGTATTTATTCTATAGTGAGATACCGTAACATTTACTCTGAGAAACTATTACTGCTTATTTCAACTCTTCCTACTCTTGTCATGTTTGGACAATGGTTGCAAATGGTTTAAGTAATATAATAATACAACAATTGAAAATTGCTACACATTTTTTCATTCCCATGAAGTCACAATTAAGTCATGTAATTATACAGCCAACTAAAACTTGTCTTTTCAAAAGTCTATACTTTCCCTCTAACAAACACAATATGCTTTTATCAAAGTATTCTTACGCTACTAAAGTTACAATATATTATATAGTCTTGCGTTACTATAGATCTCTATTAGGAAGTTACATCTTAAGGATAAATCCAAAGTTTCTCCATGACATATAGAATTTGCCCATTATTCACACAAATATGATGATCTCATATTGCTTTGATCTCCACATTGTAAATAGTATTATTATTATTTTTATTGAAAATATTTTTTTTCTTGACTCCTGTTGCCACCGGGAGCCATGCAAATGCCCAGGGTCTGAACCACCACAAGGGGCCAGGTTAGAGCCCCAGAACACGCTGCTGCTGGGCCCATCTGGATCTGAGAGGCCTGAGCTGCCACCTTGGGCCATGGTGACATCTGGCCCAAGCTGCTGCTGCTGATCACATCTGGGTCCAGGCTTCTGCAGTAGCTGGGTTCTGTATGAATGTCCATTGCCCTTGTTTCCATGTATGTGTTGATGTAAAAGGGCCCTACTGAGTTGGCCCCATCACTCGCCTGGAATGACTGCCTGCCCCTCACAGAAGAATTGACTATGCCCCCCACTGGCTCTGGGATAATGACCCTGATGACTCAGGCAAGGGAAAGCTGGCCCACCCTCTATTAGGAGAACTGGCCCCCACATGCAGGAAAGCTTGCACCATCCCTTACCATAGGCCCTGGGGCGGGCCCACGGGCAGGGGGAGGGAACCCCTCACCTGAAGGGAGTGGTCCCAGTGGCCTGGACTGACCAACTCAGCTGGGACTTGGAGCAGGCACACACCAACTTCTACCCCATCTATGACCGTTTGGAGTGTGCGAAGGGACTGGAGTGTGTGATGAACCATAGCCACAGGATTTCTGTGACTTGGGACAACAGCAGGATATCAGAACTGAATGTCAGTGAGGGTCCAGTACTGATGGTATACCAAAGCCAGAGGCCTTGAACCTGACCAATAACTCATTACAGAATGAACATTTGTAGGGATGTTCAAACAAAGCTGTTTGGACAAAAGGGTATACTGAATGATACATACACAGCAGCCCCCAAGGCCGCTAAAATGAATGAAGACACTATGGAGAAGCAGGAAAGAAGGAGACATGAAGTGTTTTTCTTTGTTCTGTTTTTTATTATCGTTCATTATTGTATTATTTTTATTCTTTTTTAGCTTTCCTTTGGGGGAGAGAGAGAGAGAGAGAGAGAGAGAGAGAGAGAGAGAGAGAGAGACAGAGAGACAGAGAGACAGAGACAGAGAGAGAGACAGAGAGACAGAGAGAGACAGAGAGAGACACAGCGACAGAGACACAGAGACAGAGACAGACAGACAGACAGACAGACAGAAACAGACAGAGACAGAGAGCTTACATTATGCCTGGAGTAGGCTTTTCAAATCTCAAAGCCCACTCCTAGGGGCACACCTCCTTCAACAAGGCCACATTTCTTTTTTTTTTTTTTTTTTTTTTTTTTTTTTTGGTTTTTCGAGACAGGGTTTCTCTGTGTAGCTTTGCGCCTTTCCTGGATCTCGCGCTGTAGCCCAGGCTGGCCTCGAACTCACAGAGATCCGCCTGCCTCTGCCTCCCGAGTGCTGGGATTAAAGGCGTGCGCCACCACCGCCCGGCAAGGCCACATTTCTTAATCCTTCTCAGTAGTTCACCAACTGGAAACCAAATATTCAAATATATGAGCCAGTGGGGGCCATTCTTATTTTAACCATTACTATTGGTATAGCAATATGTTATTAGGAGTCATTTTATTGCTATTCTTTTAGTAGAACAATTGTATTTAGTTTTTCCCTACGTCCATGACCTATTTAGTCTTAGGTTCTTGGCAAGCAGAGCAGTATAATGCATGGATTTCATCTCATGGAGTAGGCCTTAAATCCAGTCAGAGAGTAGTTGGTTACTCTCACAATGCTTGCTCCAGCATATCTTGCAGGCAGGTCACCAATGTAGACCCTTAGTGACTGACTTCTGCCAGGTAGATCCTACTTCTGCAAGCTTCCATGACCTCTCCATATAGTGCTATCAACTCATGACTAAGAATGCAACACACAAATCTTTGAGAAATGTGGACTGAATGAGAATGATCCACATTGGGTCATGTATTTTGAATACTTGGTCCCTAGTTTGTGGAACTGTTTTGGGTAGATTAGGAAGTGTGGCCTTGTTGGAGGAGGTATGTCACTGAAGGTGACTGGGCTTTGAGGCTTTAAAAGCCCACATCACTCTCAGAGAACTCTCTCTCTCTCTCTCTCTCTCTCTCTCTCTCTCTCTCTCTCTCTCTCTCTCTCTCTCTCTCTCTCTGTCTGTCTTGTGGTTGTATCTCAAGATGTAAGCTCTTACCTACTGCTCCAGTGCCTGCCTGCCTCCTTGCCTCCATGCTCCTCATCGTGATGGTCATGGACTCACTCTCTGTAACTGTAAGCCCCAATGAACTCTTTCTTCTATAAGTTGGCTTGGTCATGTTGTCTCATTACAGAAAGAGAAAAGTAATTAAGAGAGGGGAAATCTAGATTCTAACTATTTAGCATCCATGTAGTGAAATATGGTTTTCTACTTTATCTGTTGTCTCCACTCCTTTTACCATTGGTGATCAAAGACTGTTTCACTTTATTCTTATTTTTAAATGTTTTTCTCTTTTACCATTTTAGAATGCTAATAATTTGGCTTTCTTTACCAAGGCTCTTCTCCAGAAACATCACTAAGTTAATTTAATACTATTGGCACCAATAGAATTAACAATACCACAGTGCTAAGTGTTTGGAGAATTGGCATTCATTTTTGGCTAGGTCTAGTAATAAACACAGGCTCATTGGATATGAAATAAATTCAAGGAAGATTCATATGCCATTATTCTGGAAGCTGGAGGGCAGAAAGTCTGGAGTCTAATGGCTATGTTAGAAACTATGGAGAGGACAGAAAAGCTAACCATGGGTGCCAGGCCAAAGAGAGAAATAAGAGAAATAGGAAGCGTGGTGATAGTAGAGAGGAAATAAACCAGTTTTAGTTGAAGAAAATGATGAAGCTTTCAAAGTGGAAGAAATATCTACTTGAATCTCCGTTTTTGATACATGACCTTGAACAGAGCTCAAGGGCAGTGATGATGAAGAGGTAACAGGATGAAAAAGCATGCAGACTAGCAGAAGCAGCCTTCAGGGAGTGGCTATGTACTTCAAGATCTTTGTTGATCACGTGTATTTGTTCTTTCAGAAAATGAAACTTAATGTTCTCTCAATATCACAAACACTGAGGTGTAAAGTACAATTACTGGGTGTTTGAACAATCACTGAATCAAAAAAATTCACCTCTGGGAGGCAAGAATGTAGGTTAAAGGGGCTGACTAAAGAAACCAACCCTACATTAACAGCC